AGACAGGCGTGAGAGTGGCAGCATTTGATGGTGAGTTACTTGTTTTTCAGAAGACTCACACATAGTTGCTGTGTAGTCATGCCCATTTTTTTCTCAGCTCTGGGCCCCCTGGTGCAGCTTCTAGTGCCCAGGTCAGCTGGCTTCTGGCTGGGTCAGGCGGACTGGAGGCCCTGGCAGAGTGCAGATACAGGAACCTATGGAGTCTCCCCGGGCTACCTCCGCCAGTATCTCTGGTGGTGGTGGGATCCACCATGGCTGCAGCTTTGGGGAGACAGGTCTGCTGTGTTTCCAGCAGCCTCTGCTGGCCCCAGTCCCAGCACTGAATGTGCACTGCTTCTGCCTTGTCTCTCCAGCCCTGATGACAGTAGGGCCCTGCTGTTGAGAACCTACTGAGTGTACTCTGGTTTCCTTTTCCCAACCAATTCATCATATAGAACAGCTTTGCTTTCATAGCTTGCAGTCTTTTGGTGTTGATAAGAGAAAGGTTAAGTTGTTCATTTATCTTAGATAATGTGTGATCAGCTTGCTGTTCTGTTTCAATGGGGGGGGCAAAGAAGCATAAGGCAGAATGACTCAGTTGCCTTCAGGGAGCTGCGGCTGGCATGGAGACAGTGCCCAGGAGCTGAGAGGAAGGGTAGTGGCGGGAAAGAACTCACAAAGAAGGTAACATCTGAGCGTCTTGCCATCTGCCCAGCTCTGGTGTCAGCAGATAGAAGGGCATTACAGTCAGCAGCTGCAGTTTGTGGAAAAGCACGTCCAGCGCTGTGTTACGTCTTGATAGTGTTATGTTTGGGACAGTAGAGAAAAGGAAACCACAAAGGAAGCGAGGTGGATCACCAAGGCTGTGCAGATCCCGCTGAGCATTTGCACTGCAACCATTCGGTGGCCAAGAATGGTAAAGTAGGAATTCAGGCAGAGGAAGCACAAGGGCAGGTTGATCCTTTACATTAGTCATGGTCCAGGGTCTCAGAAGAGACACCAGAGGCAAAAGAGGCGTCTGATGAAGGGATGTATTTGATTGGAGGCCTAAATAATCCCAGAGGATATGGGAAGAAAGGGGGAAGTCACGATGCATCAAGGAGAGGGCGTGTGGAACTTGGAGAATTTCCTGGATGTGTTTGGGGTTCTCAGTAAATGATGGTCCACTCCCGTGCGCAGAGGTCAGCATGTGTTTGGTTAGGCTAAATGAATCTCAAACCAGAATATTTTCTTAAATTGGGGTCACCCTGTCTCCATGGAGGTCTCCTGCACGTTTCTGGGTTGTTTACACTACCTTATCCACTGGACATATTTTAAGTTTCAGACAAATTATGGTGGCAGTGCTGCCCATGTTTTACAAGCAAGCCAAATGCATGATTCTTTTTAAAAACTGTTTACTGCTCCCATTCACCATCACCACCCTGAAACCCTCTTCAAGGCCACAGTCTTCCCAGTTTCTCTCTACCAGTCATGAAAACTGTGACCATCCCCGGTCTTATTTGTTTCATCTCCCATGTCAGCCTGTCTCAGCTTTCTCGTCTTCTGATGAGATAAAATAATTAACCTCCTAGCTGATAAATCACAGGAACCCAGCAAGAGAACATTCTCTGCTCATTGAGGAAATCTATAGGTCCACCCCCACCCAAGGCCAGGGTCTGGGCATCTCATTTTCAGAAAGTTAAAAAGCACGCAGAACCTGCGCTCTGGACGTGCAGCATCTGGAAGCAGACCTGGGGGCCTGGAAGGTGGCACAAAGTAAAATGTTACCGATGCCCTGGCCTTAAGTTACTCACAGTGGGATGTGAGGTGCTGCTCTGGGGTTGTGGCTACGTGGTGGTAGAAGTCTTGAGAGCTAAAACTAACACATTTTATCCGTGAAGGTTCAAAATAGAGTGCAGTAATTGAGACTCTGGTTGGGGAATCTGACTTCTTAACAATAAAAAGACAAATGTGTCACCTTGGCTGATCTTAATCTCTGTGCTTCCTCCCTTCTCTGTAAGATGAGGAGAGAAATAGTTTCTACCCCGATTGCTAGACTAAATGCCAGCCGTATGTGGTGTGCAGACCTCCCCACACAGGCCGTGCACAGTGGACACTGCTGCGGCTCATACCTCAGGCCAAGGAAGGGGCCAAGGGGGCCAGTTGAAAAGCTGTGTGTGAGAACCAAGGATCATTGGTCTCCTTGCAATGAGAACTGTGCCGGATAACCCTGTGATCCTTGTAGTCACTTAAATTAATTACAAAGAATCTCTGGTACTTATGTGGTATTCAGGACAAGTTAAGTCTTTTGAGTTTTCAGGTTACACCTTTGACCACATTGTACCTCACATACATAACACACAGTTGTGACTTAGAGAACTTTAGAAACAAGTAGAGGCCAGCAAGTAGTAAGGAGTGCTTTAAAGGATCACTTGTGCCTCTCTGAAACCTTCCATGAATAACACGCATCGCCTTCCTCTGCATTTGAGTTCAACACACAAGAGTTGAACAGCACGCTTTTGCAGATTCTGTATAGGCTGCAGGGATTTGAGGGTAAACAAAGAGCTCACATCTGCATGAGGCTGAAATCGTGCAGGAATGTATGTGAACAGAAATGTGTAGAAGGTCACAAGGCAGGCACAGAAAGGAGAGGAATGGAGCATGTTTGTCCAGAAGACCTGGACCATTGCTGTGTGGAGGGATATAGTAGGAAGTGAGGTCAAAGATGTAGAGAGGATGGATCGTGTAAGAGTTTGGCCTCTGTCCTGGGGCATTTGGGGGCCACTGAAGCACTTTAGGCAACAAAACACCACAAGAGCCATTTCTAGCAGGATCAACCTAGTGTGGAAGATTGAAAAGTGTGTCGGAGCTAGTGGCAGGTTTGTGTCAACACTGCAGAGTTGCTGAGGGCAGGGACAGAGTCTTTATCCCTAGATCTCTCATGTTTAATATCATAAACATTCAAGAAATGTTTTGGAGCAAAGGCGGCCTGATTGAATTTTCCAGCTCCGCATCCTCTCCTCAGAACATGCTGACCCAGACCTCCATCTGTCAGAAGCAGCTTGACTGAGATCATAATAAATTTTCTTTTCTTGGCATTCTTTTAGCTGGCACTCTCTGTTTACTAGCCCCTCTGTGTGATGGTAGTGGGGTGGTGATTGATGCTTATAATTCTGACCCTGAGGTACTTTGAGCCTTCTAAATCATCAGAAAAAGATTAAAGTGTATTCAGCATTGTGCTAATGTTTGTGTGTTTCCCTGCATTCCTAGTCTTTGGATGCTGATGGTTTCTCAAATGCCTGTATACCTGGACCAGTGAGGCTCTGCGATCACCCACACCTCCCCGCTCCCTCCAGGTGCCAAGCACAAGCAGTTTATTATGCATCCCCCAAAAGAAACAGTGACCTGAGTTCTCTTCAGGCCCAGAAGGAGGAAGCAGGTTGGCCCCAAAGGGGCAATTGAGCCAAAGCGAGAGTGAAACCTGTAGTTAGAAAAACAATGGGAGTGAGAAGGCAGAATCAGGGCAGACCAAACCCTGGCCATAGCCCAGCCCCCAGAAGAGAACAGCTCGGGAGCAGGACCTCACATTCATGTACTGGGTGCTGTGACCCCAGTCACCAGCCTAAGACCTAGCAGGCTTCCCCATCAGTGCTGTTAGTACTGCAGTATCTGCTGCTCAGCAAAATGGCAAACCTTAGCCAGTGAAAACATCAATAATGAGAGCGTCCTGTCCACGTGCATCCTGTCCCCGTGCGCATCTCTTCTTGAAAACCATTTTTGCTGCAGAGCTGATTGGATTATTAGGCCCCGAGTGAAGAACTCAGAATAGAAGCCATGCATGCGATGGCTCCATTTGAAACCGGAGTGCCTAGAGGGAAAGGTGGTAGTGTGGTTACCAGGGCTGGATTTGTGTGCGTTTCCCTTGGTGGTGGGGGTGAGAGCAGGGGTTATACTGTAAACAGAGACTCCTCTAACATTCTGGCATACAGTTTACTCTTGAAATCTGTGCTTTATCGGTCAGTTCGTATCATCACAGCCCTGAGAGCTAGTCTCTGAGGCCCAGAGATTCTGCTTATCACCCAGCGGGGCTGTCAGAGCCAGCTTTATCACTTGCCACCCTGGGCAAGTGTCTTAGTCTCTTTGGGTCTTAGTTTTTCTTTTTTCTGAAATATTGAAATAATACTAACTTCTTCATAGGGATGGTATAAAGCTGAAATAGAGCAGTGTAAAATATGCTTCCCTGGAAAGCCTGATCTGTGTAAGTAGCAGATAAAAATACTAATATATATGTCCTGTGTGTGATATTAGCTGTAGATATGCTAAAGAACATCATAAATATTCTAACGAAATGCAGAAACAGATTCCATCCATAAGCGCAGCATCCTCACTAATCTCCCCACGGGGGAGAAGAGCTGTGTATGGAGTCCCTACAATAGATAGGTGTTCTAGACTTGCCTTGCCCACTGTCTTTTGCGAGGCAGGTATTAACTCCCCTGCACAGAGATGAAGGGATGGACCCTCTTTCTCCTCTGACATGCTAACGGTCCTTGTTTAGCCAGTTCCAGACTCAGGAAGGTACTATGAACTGCTCATGTCCTTCGGGGCTGGGACATTTCCTAGCCTTCTGTTGGTCCAGCATAGACCAGAGGGGTCAGTGTGGTCCAGAGGGGACCGTGGAACACCAAGAGCTGCTGCAATGCAAGGGTCAGGAATGTGGCTCTGGCACCCAGTCTCAGCCCCTGTAGGAAGTCGGCCAGCCCCGGGCTGGGGACAGGAAGTGACCATGCATGCACTTACCCACAGAAACCTCCCTAGGACTCTCCCTAACTATTGGGGCGAAGGGGTTCCAGTGTGGCAGCTTTTTAAGTGCCCTTTGGGGCCCCCTGCCACATGCATGTTCCTGTTTATGTCACTTTCCTGATTCACAGACAACTAGCTATGAGCCAGAGCTGCCCACACAGGGATGCTGAGACAGGGCCAGCTCGGTACCACGAGGGCACCTGGTCCTGAAAGGACATTGCATGTGGCTCTCTTTTCCGTAGGTTCTCAACAGGAGGTGCGTGGAAGCCGCAGTGATGACAGGCCTGGCACTGAACTGCCACATAAATAAGAAGTCCTTGTTCGACAGGAAACACTACTTCTATGCAGACCTCCCTGTAAGTATGCTTTGTGGTCACCCCCAGAACCTTCAGAGCTGGGCCAGCCCTGCCTGGGGGCATCAGAGGGAGGGAGCAGGGCTATGCCTCTGCTGTTTCGGCCTCTCTCAGCAGGAAGCACTGCCCGGCCCTGATGAAGGCAGGTGCCCCCTGATGCTCACCAGATTGCATGCAATTGTCCTGATTGCTGTGGCCTTGCTTAGTCTCATGCTTCTGGTAGCTCGCTCATAATTGAATGGGGACTCAAGAAACCAGTGTTGTTAGGCTCAGCCCAGCTGTGAAGGCCAGTGCTAATTGTCTGTTAGGACAAAGGCAAAGCCTGTGGCTGATGGGCGGTTACTGCCCACTGTTAGTCTGTAGACACTGTAAGAGTCTCTCGTTAAAGCCAGAGTCCTCTGTAAGAAAGCTATCTGCTCCAGAGACATTTCTGTCATCTCCCAAGGTGCAAGTAAATGGACAGTAGTAAGCAGAAACATGAACCTGAAACAGGCACGAACAGCAGTAATTGGTTGAGCAGGAGGCTCAATATTTGCCTGCTTTTTTCTTAAAACTAGAAATGTTTTTCTTTAAGAGGTATCGGGGTGAATGAGAGACAGTTTTTCATAATATTAAGCTGGAACAAAACTGAAATGTTGAATGGGTTTCCCAAAATAATGTGTCATTTGATCTGAGCTTCTAACAGTAAGACTCTCCTTTAGATTTAGAAAAACACTAGCCATAGCGTCGCCTCTCTTCATTTTCCTTGAACTAAAGATGGAAGGGAGCTGATTTTTAGTAGGTAAGGGCAGGAACAAATGAAAACAACACAAGTAGGACCCTGATTCTCCAGTCGGGGTGTCTTTCCCACTCCAGCTGCTAGCCTTTCAGCAAGTTCTGCTCTGGAGGTTGAAAAGAATTAAACTTTTTTTCTTTACCTCTTGTTATTTTTCCTGTGTTATGGATCAACCCAGGGCCTTGTGTGTGGTAGGAAAGTACTGTACCGCTGAGCCCCATTCCCAGTTCCCATTTCTTTTATCCTTTAAGAGTGATGACCAGTTGGGTTAAGGTAGGAGCATTACCAATGTGACAGAAATGAGATGTTTTGATTATTTATGGCCCTCTGTTCTGACATATGTAACTCAGATAATCTGCAACTGGTATTGCCAGATATTACATGGGATGTCTTTATACTAAAAAAAAAGTATGTGTTTGCTTATCGGAAATTTAAATTAACAAGGTATCCAGTATTTTATCTGGCAGTGCTCTTCAAAGTTCATGAGGTATGACTGAAAAATACAGTCAGTGTTTGAATTTAAAAACACATTTCAGCAAAAGATACAGTGCCGTTAATCCTTCTCAAAGTACTGACCTCTGCTTCGAACACACTTATCCTGTGGTTCTTTCTTGCCACTTTCGGAAGCAGTGCTGAGGTCCTCACGAGTGTCTTTAGTTGCTCTGTCATGGCTGCCATGATGTCCTTCACCGATTCAAAACATTTACCTTTCACATCATTTTGACTTTGGGAAAGAGCTAAAAGCCACGGAGGGCCAGACACAGTGGATAAGGTAGAGGAGGACACGTCGTGATGCTTTTGTGAGCCTACTTTTCTATTGGGTGACACTTAGCAGCCACATTCACCATATTATGATCACACTCCGTAAGGACAGTCACAAAAGAAGACTTTGAGAACTTCAGAAAGTGGTAAGAAAGATGGGATAGGTGTATTGAAAGTGACAGGGAATACTCTGAGGGGAATTTATGGCATGGTATCTTACTGTAATGTAATATATTTTGTAAAACAAAGAAAGAAAACATTCACCATATAGTCTGATCACACTGCGTAGTTTGGCAGATCGAGGCTTTCCCTCTCAGTGTAGAGAATGGGTTAGCCTCCTGGAGGTCTCAGGGTCTGTCCCAAGGTACCGTCAGCATCTCCTGGGACCTTGTCAGAAATCTAATGCTCAGGCGCGCCCCCCACTCCCCACCTACTGGATTAGGACTCCTTGAGGGCATCGAGCTCGCTGCTTGACAGGCTCACTGGCATTTCTGATGGAGCAAAGCTAATACACTGCTGATTGGCCTAATGATGAGGAATCCAGTTTGGTGCCAGAGTGTCTGGGCTAGCGTGCTGCTGCGGAGATTCTAGGTCTGTGCGTGACTCTGGACAAGGCCTGGCCCCCTGTGCTTGCCCTCCTTCCCTTAGCTGTTGTGTAATTACACTAGTGTGCCATAGCGGGAAGCATGTCTCGGCCCTGAGCAGACGCAGACCTAACCTTTGTCCTCCATTCTTGTCCAAGTCTCTGCATTAACCTGCTGTGCTTAATGTGTGCTGACGCATACGTGCATTTGAAAGCAATTCTTTCCACTTAGGAGGTACAGAGCCACCAATGTGCTGGCACCCAGTGTAAGTGTCAGGGCAGTTTCTGGCCAGAATAGCAGGGAAGTTGGGTCAGTGAGGGCAGCCGGCACAACAGGCTGAAAGAGAAGAACCAAACCCACGTAACCACGCTGGTGACTGCTGGCTGCCGCGGTGTTGGAGGAGATGAGCAAAGCCCGTAGCCAATGCTTCCTAATAAGGCGGCCCTGTCAGGGGCCCAGTAATGAGATGAAAGCACGGGCTAATGAGCTCAACGAAAACAGTAAGTTCTCCTCCTGGGGGCTCCTGACACTGAGATTGTCATTCTCAAAAATGGCACTTTTGTAAGGAAGATGGGATTTATGTTGTAATTGTCTCATTAGTGGGGGTGAAGGACTTGGGGAAAGTAAGGGGGTGATGGGAGGAGCCAGAAGCAATGTCTTTAAATTATGGCAGTGTTGCGTAAGCTAATCATTCTTGTATTCTTGCCGTGTTGTTTTTGTTTCAAGTAAGCCTCTAGTTGTGTGCCACTGAAAGGAATCATACACTGAAACCCAGTTTCTGGTGATGGGCCCATGACTGTAACTCTGTGTGCTTGCATGCAGGCGGGGTACCAGATCACCCAGCAGAGGCTTCCGATAGCTGTCCGAGGAAGCTTGACATATGGAGTCTTTGTGGGGAATAAGCGGAGTCACATGGCCACCAAGACAGTGAGGATCAAGCAGATCCAGTTGGAGCAAGACAGTGGCAAAAGCCTGCACGACGACCTGAGATCCCAGACACTCATTGACTTGAACAGGGCGGGTAGGCTTGGAATATTTTCATTGCTTCTCCTTCTTGCCCCTCTAATCCTTGGATTTTAGGCACCTCTCTTCCTTTCTAGAGTTTTCCCAAACCAAAGTCTTACAGGAGGAGCTCAAAATATCTGTTAGTATTGGCAGAGCCAAGGAGAGTATGCGACCTGAACCGGGATCACTGCCGAGCTGGCCAGTGATTCACCCTTCAGACCAGACTTAGCCACCAGTCATGAACCCCATAGCTGTCTACCCTTAAACAGACAGTAAAACAAGTGAACCAAAGTTAAGAATCAGAAAGTGGAGGGAAGTAGAGAAATGATGTCAAGGCTAGAACAGCTTTGAGAGTCCTTCAGTAATGCAGGGTTTTACTAAGGTTTTTACCTGCTGGTGACACTGGTGAGACCCAGTCAGCTGACTCTGCCTCTTCCTGGCAGGAGTCGGCCTCTTGGAAATGGTCCTAGAGCCTGACCTGTCCTGTGGAGAAGAGGCAGCCACAGTCGTCAGGGAGCTGCAGCTGATACTTCAAGCCCTGGGCACCAGCAAGGCAAACATGGCAGGTAGGGGCCCGAGGAGTGGCCTCCCATGGTCCCTGCTTCCTGTCTGCTTCCTCGGTCTCTTTGCACCTGAATTTTACTCTCTGGCATCTTCTATATTGAAGCTGTTTACATCTGTTTTCATCCATTTCTGCTCCCGCTCACTTGCTTCTTTTTGGTTTTTAGAATTTTCATTGGCCTCTTTTCTGAGCCCCAGACCAAATATAAACAGGAGTGCAGCAACACTGAGCCTACAAATGTGAGTCAGAGGACTAGATGCTTCTCTAGCTTCTTACCTCAAAACTGTGGGGATTCAAAACATGCTCAGAGTAATGTATTTGAACACTTGAATCTTCCTCAGAAAGAAGACACGGTTCTTCAAGAATAATTCTTACCTTTTGAGTCCTCTATAACATAGCTAGATGCTATTTTGGGGAAATCTGTTTCTTTCTTTTGTAGAATTTTCCTCTATGAAATGTGAACTATCCTAATTTGGCTATTACCTGTATCAAGTTATCATACATACCTCATAAATTTGTACAGTTAAAATGATAAATAAAAATGGAATTTTCATCCATGTGCAGCTGAAGCCAAAGTATATTGGCTCTAAGCCAAGATTATGGTAACAAAAATTTCATCCTTAGATCGGATCTTAAATTCAGTAGATACAAAGTGGGAAACTCAAAACCAAAGAAACACTTGTACTCTTGGGACCCAAGCAGATTAAGCCTTTTAAATATTTCTACATTGTATGTAGAATCATGAGCTTGGTCAAGTTGTGTCTTCATGGCTTTGCTTCCTTGGTTCCTGCCCAGGGCTCTTTTGTCTTCAAGTCCCCTAAAAGCTAATCTCCCCCGTGATCTGTCTGTACTTTCTGTTCTCCCAGGCTTTTTAAACATTTCCGTCATCTTCACAGAATCTAGGTTCTGAATTTACGGTTTTGTGGTTGGTGGCACATACTGGGCAGAGGTCACTGTGCATGCCCAGCAAGCCCCGCAGATGAAGGTGGTCATCTTCCTGCCAGCTTACAGTGCTGCAGACACCCCTTAGCATGTCACATGGTGAATTTTCATGTTACAGAGAGAATTCTGAATTGGTTGTGCCATATTCCTCACGTAGAATGTGTTACAAGCCACAGATTATAACATGAAAGCCCTGGTGCAAGTCGAATGTGAAGACAGTACTTGCTTGTTTTCTGTTTTCTTCTTTAAAGACTGAAAAGATGCCGCCGTGTGAGTGTGAGCGGCACGAAGGTTAGCTGCCTACAGGTTTCCTTCATAGAAATGAGACTGGGAGCGAGAGAATTCTCCATTTTTCATTTCTCACTTATGCTGCTTTTTATGCACAGAACGTAAATGAAATATGGACAGGTTGACGGTTATCCTTTAATGCCCTAAGCATTGATCCTCTATCGCTTTAAAAGTTTTTATTATTCCATTCTTATTCAGAATCACTGTGATTCCTGCATACCCTGTGGAATAATAAACAAGCCACCTGTTAGCTGAGACATAGTCCCATCTGGGTCCTTACCAAGAGATAAACCATAATGGCAAGAACTCATGAGTCAGTGACAGCTGAGAGTGCTCATTAAATCTCATTTGTTGTGACACTTTTTGTTTCTTTTAAACACAAATCCAGCAGCTTTGCTTCCAGCACAGCAGCCAAGCGGCTCTGGCGGTTGTGTGATGCTGGGGGAGTTGTGGACCGCCTGGGGTCTGCAGGAGTTGGCCTCTCAGTGCTGTTTGTGTTTATCAGCCCGACTCCATTGCTTGTTCTTTCCAGCACTACAAGGCCACTGCATTGGCACTGGAGGTCGCAGCCTGGGAGCCAGGGTAACCCTAAAGAGTGGCAGTGAGTTCTAGTGGAGTGAAGCATAAATTGGCCTCGGCTGCAGTTTGTTGAGTTTCCAGTAGATTTGCTGATGTACATGGACTTGGAACCTGAGTTCCCCCCTCAGAGAATGGCATTTGCCACTGAGGCCCTCAGAGCAGCGTTAGCTGAACGTAGGCAGAAGGAGGCCTAGTAAGCTTCAGTAGTGATCCCCGTGAATCAGAGCCTGAATATGTGCTTGTCAGTTCACCGAGCATTTTTAAAAACTGCTTTATCATCTCAAACATGACGGCATCCCTGAGAAACAGATGGCATCCTACCTGACGTACAGGTGTGGAAGCTGAGGCTCAGGCCTGCTGACTTATTTGCTCCAGGCTCACAGAGGCACCTGAGCTGGGATTTGAGGCGAGGCGTGTCTGACTGCAGGTACACTTTCTTTAGGCAAGAAAGTGCTCCCTCAAGTTATTGCCACTCCTAGTCACCTGCCTGGGGTGGGGGACGGGAGTCAGCGCAGTCAGGGTGCCTGGGACTCCAAGGTCACAGACAGCAGATGGGATCCCATCCTGCAACTTCCAGGAGTGGAAACCTGGGAAGATTATTCGGTTTCTCTGACCCTAACTTTTCCACACTTGTAAAAGAAGGCCCTAGATAATTGTGTGTGGAAAGAGAAAAGGAGAAACCAGAAAGCAAAGGAAATCTTCAGAGAGACCAGGCAGAGCTGGGGCAACTGAATGAAAGGCGTGACTCTGGGCAAGAAAGTTTAGGATTCAATTCTGGAAATGCTAAGTTTGACTATTCCAGAGATACCTAGTGGCTTTGTCATTAAAGCTGTATTGTAGGTAATAGATGTAATAATGTATATAGGACAGCACAGGGCCTGGCAGAGAGCCTGTGCTGCGTAAATGCTTTTATTAACAGTAGTAAGAAGGATGGGATTGCTTTTGTGGCATCACCACTCATTTGGATGAATAAGCTTAGAGAAACATGTTCAGAAACATTTGGTCACTTTCAGCTCGAGCTATAAGCTGAGGTAGAACACTTACCTGGCATGTGTAAGATACTGTGAGATCCCACCCCCCGCACTGCAACAAAACAAAACAAAGTTGTTTGTTGTTGTTTTTTTTTTTTAACTAAGTTTTGGAGAATATTTAGGAGCCAGAATGATATAGTTCAACAGATCTTTTTACTAAAGACTTGGGCTCCTGCTATTCGCAGAAACAGTTTTCTGTCTCATTGTGTTTCTGCTGTGTGAATGTCTTTCAGAAGAAAATACGTAGCTGCACCCTATCACAGCACTCAGTGGTATAGCGTTCAGGTTTTGTTGCTAGAAGTCTCAGCTTCCCAGAATACAGAAACTGAGCTGGGGAGCATCTCGTGAGGTGGTTGCGGGCCTCCCTCAGTGGCGCAGAGCACGTGGAAGCAGACCTGACTCGCAAGGCTTTCATGCACTTGAAGCAATTTAACTTAATTTGTTTAAAAGGTATTTTGTCTTCACTGGGCAGAGTGTCTTTTGTTAATGTTTGATTCTATATTTGAATCCAGGCTAGCGAACTTTCTTTCAACACCGCAGGGTACTAAATGATTCCTCTCAGGCATTTATGCAGTGTGGTTTCTGTGGAAGGGACTAACATTCTTGCTTTTATCACTCTTCCAAATTAGAATCCTAAATTGTGAGAGATGGCTTCCTTTTTAAAAGCAGGTGAGTAATTCAGGGTTCCCTGTGTTCAAAAAAAAAAGTCTTCCAAATACGGAGATTGGACTGAGCAGAGCTCAGCATACCACGAGTTTTCCTCTGAGTTTAATGGGCCTGCCACATGATCCCTACTGCAGTTTAGCCCCTGTTTAGATAGAAATTTAGAATTTATCAGGAACCCACCACGAGCTGGAAACCAGTCAGCTGACTCCTCGCCCAGGAATATACCAGCATGTTGGCATCTGTCCTTAACCAAGGTTTCGTTTTTGAACCAGCACCACTCACCAGACTCAGCTCCGGGTTCTGAGAAACCTTATTCCTGCCTCCCAGAGCTTGAGAAAGACTAATTCATTACCAAATACACACCAGTAGTTTCAGTGATTAAGGAAATACATGAGCTGGCGTGATACAGAATCACCCGGGAAATGACAGTGTTGCTTTTTTTAAGGCCCCTGAGAAGCAGTGGCATTTAGGTAAGATGTGAAGAGCTATCTAAGGTCCAGCCAGCACTGAGCCAGGAGATGAGTGTCCAGAGGACAGCTGAGGCAGAGAGCCCGAGCTGAAGAAAAGCTCAGTGTGCACTCTGAAGGGACTACAGTGAAAGGGCACTGCAGACGACATGTGAGGAGCTGTGGTGTCAGAGAAAACTGTGGAGGTAAGCAAGTGACAGATTACAGGCAGTGCCGGGAAGGTTAGCCTTAGCCCAGGTGCTGTGGACAATCGCTGCAAAGGCCTTACACACGGGAACAATGCGGTCCACTGATGTTTTAGGAGGCCCCTCTGCAGGCTTGTGGAAAGTGGGTTTCAGAAGGGAAAGAAGCGTGGAAACCATATGGGAGGTGCTTGCCAGTAGTTCAGGTGGAAGATGACACTTCCATCTGCACTTCCATCTGGTGGCTGGGGTGATGGAGACATGGGTAAATTCGAGACGATTTGTAGGGATAAGAGGGTTTGTAGCAGGCCAGTGTGGAAATCAGAGACAAGAAAGTCAGAATACCTCAGGGAAGTTTGAGGAGCTAGGTGGTGGTATACAGCACAAGTCAAAGCTAAAGGCAAGAATAAAGGACCATGCAAGGCACAGTTTTGGAAACTGAAATGCTGCAGCAGCCTACTGTGAGCTCAGAGGAGAGGCCTGGGCTGAGGAGAGAAATTTCAGTGTCAGAAGCTGTGGTGGGTTGACAAGTACTGGTCAATTTATTACACCCAGCTGAACTGAGTTGGTGTGGTGCTGCTGGTTGTGGGAGGCCCATCCCCAGCTGTTGCCAGCATAAAAGGGAGAACTGAAGGGGAAGATAGTGCTGTTGGTTCTCCTGGAGAAGCTTGTTGAGCTGGCTTTCCTGAAATGAACTCAGCTGTTATCATCACAGAAGCTTGGGACCTCACTATCACTGAAGATGGCTGTGGTTCTCTTTGGCAGAGCACTGGTCCTTGTGTGTCAATTCCTGGCTCTGGTGCAGATCCTTCAGCCTACTGGCACAGATCCTTCACCCCACTGGCATAGACTTTCTAGCTTCCACCACTGACCTTTGGGCCTTCCCAGTACAGATCCTTGATACAGATTTGCATGAGACGTTGTGGGCTTTGGGCCTCCCACTGGACTCAGAGGACATTACTGTGGATTCTAGGCCCTCACTTGAATTCTTTGGGTCTCCAGTGTATGAACAGATCTCCTACACTCTTTAGCATTTGACTTTTTTGGGTGACTTATAAAGCAATCCCTGTAAATTATGTGTCCTGTATTAGATCCTTTCCCTTTAAGCCCTGTCTACAACAGGAGCACATAGATTGTAAGGTTGTATTTAAAACCATGTACCCCTAAAGAGAGAGCAAGAGAAGAGGGTCTTGAGTTTGGATAGAAAAGATGGCCCTAGAAAATGAAATGGAAGAGAATCCAGGAAGAAACCCAAGAGGTGGTAGCTGAGGTAGAAAGATGGGAAGGATGAGTGGACGTGTCACCTGCCATTGTGTCCTGCACCTGTCAGTTTGGCAGTCAGGAGGTTGCTGGTGCCTCTGGCTGGGGCATTGTCAGGTGGGGACAGGACCCAGGCTGATAGGGGCTTAGGAGTGTATGGGAGGTGAAGTCAGGGTTACAATATGCACCACAGACACAGCTTGTTTTGAGAAGATTTGCTGAGAAGGAAAGCAGAAAAACAACAGCTGGATGACTGATGGGATGCGAGCCGGGCTCAGGGGAATAGGTGTTTCAGCTTTTGTTTGTTTTCTTAATGAGAAACCCTGTTGCTCCTGATGACTGATGCAGGGGAAGGCTGAGAGAGGCAGCAGTGTCAGTGAAAGACCGTGAGGGTGTTGAAAACCGGGGTCCCTCACGGGGCCTCCCATTATAGCCTAGAGATGAGCTTGCGTCAGCGCAGACTGCTTGCCTGTGCCCCATCCTGTGGGGCCTTCAGGGGTGGTGGGTAGGAGAAGAGGGCCGGTCACACTGGTGAGGAGAACACTGCTCCCCAGACTGGGAGGCGGGCCAGTGGGAAAATGTGGGCCGTGCCTGCAGGTCAGGATGTGGTGGCAGCTGGGGCTGTGAAAGCCACATGGGCAGGTGGGAGTCGAGGCAGCTGTGGGGACTGGACAGTGGCCCTGTGTGCTGACAGGAGGCTATGGGCCCTCACTTGGGCCCGGTACTGTCAGACCTGGGGTGAGGCTGGAGCAGTGACCTGGGAGAGGAGGTGACAGATCTGGGGCTTAGAAAGGGAAGACTTGATCTATGCACACATTTGACTCAGAAGACAGAGTGGGAAGCGACCCAGGGTTCCCAAACTAGGGGACATCTTGTGACTCAGAAACATGTACTTTGTTCAAAGAGTGATCTAAAATGAGAGGCCACAGAGTATTTGTAAAAATGTTGAGAAGTCAGCACCAGGGATAATGGAGCTGAAAGGTGTCTCAGGCCATCAGACAGCTGAGCAGTCCCCTGTGTCTGAGGTGTGACAGAAAGGCCACCACGGCCCTGCGGGCAAGCCTGGCTCGGCATGGGGGAACGACAGAGAACCCGTGCCAAGTGGCGGCTTTTCTTGGCATGGAATTTATTTGAACTTTATTACTTTAATATGATTTCATTGTAGAATCTTAGAAAATGAATTGATTTGGCCCATCACAACACTCAGGTTTGATGGATTACTTTTTAATTTAAAAGAGGAGGAACCTACATAGAAAAATAAAATCCAGCGCTTAGTCCTCACATTCCATAAGTGAAATTTGAGAGCAGAGAAATCTGAGCTTTACTTTAGAAGGTGTGAAATGTGATTATTTCTTATCTTCCCCTGCTATTTGTCTTGAGATTTTTGCCTCTTCTTTTCCTTGGAAGCCTTAAATCCTCTCCACAAATTCCCCTGCTCCCTTCAGGGTTGTGGCTTCTGATCTGCAGAGGCTTTCAGGGGCTGGGACTGTCCCAGCCCTGGGTCCCTGCTTCTGGTCTCCTGGCATAGCCCAGCCCCCACTGTTGGGCAAGATGGGGGAGTTGCATGGTGGGAGAGGACGAGATGACTGCAGACAGGACCTGGAGGGAGGAGCAGAGGAAGAGCCCAGGTTTCAGCTCTCTCCCTTGAGCCAAAATTCTCAAGGACGGTCTATAAATCTCCTGGAATCGGGTTAGAATCACCTTCCACTGGAGAGCTCTGGAGGCTTTCCATCATTCCCGAGTCTCCCCAAAGCATTACCTGGTTTTGATACTTTGTAAAAAAATTCAGAATAAAACTGCAGAGTAAATCTCCACCTTAAAGGTATTGTTCTTCCTTAGCACAAAAGAAAGTGAATTCAGCTGCTGTATCTGGAACCCTTCTCCTGTATGTGCACGTGTGCACATAAGTGTACCCACACACACGTCAGCACGGGAGAACACCCCTCACCTGCCCCAGGGCCCTGGCTGCTCCCCAGGACAGGCGCCTTCCTTCCCTGAAGTCGGGAGGGTTTGTTCGCCTGACCGTGCTGCCTCGAGGATTCCTCCGCGCCATCTCCTTTCTCTCCCGCAGAGGGCCAGCTGAGAGTGGATGCAAACATCTCCGTGCATCAGCCTGGGGAGCCACTTGGTATCCGAACCGAGGTGAAGAATCTCAACAGCATCAGGTTCTTGGCCAGAGCCATAGGTGAGTGTCTGCTGTTATTCCTCCTGCTCTGTCTGTCTGTCCTCACTTGTGGGTGACAGGCCTCCCCAAGCGCAGTGGCTTATGTGGTAACCGCTTTGGTTTTCGTGCTTCTGAGGCCAGAGTGGTTCTGCTTTTGCTGCTGCCGTTGCTGCCTCTGCCCGCTCCCGCAGCTGTAGGAAACTGACAGGTCAGCAGGCATGGGGTCACATCTGATCATGTTCACATGTGCTCCTGTCCCTGAGGCTCCCCTGCCCGTGTTCACATGTGCTCCTGTCCCTGAGGCTTCCCTGCCCGTGCGGTCCTTCCCCATTACCCGACTCCCCAGGCTTGCTTGTCAGCAGTGAGCGCATCCAGGAGAAAAGAGACGGAAGCCACAGCTGCCTGTGTGCTTGTCTGCTGCTCTCACACTGTCACCTCCAGCTCCTCCTACTCAAAGCAGATGGAGTTCAAAGCAACTTGAGTTCAAAGCAGACCCAAGGGGAGAAAAAATAAACTCGGCTCTTCATGGGAGGATTCACAAAATATTGTATCTGTTTTGTCATATGCCGCATTATTACAAAGTCAAGTTTGTTCAGCTCATGGCTTAACTCTCTGAAGCTGTATTTGTTTTAGATGGGCCGGAGAGTGGCCTAACGTTTCTCTGCTTTGCATTCCTTTCAGCTAATGGATTGCATGTGCCCATGCAGTCAGAATCCGACTGACTGGAACCCCGTGTGTTCATAGGTGACAAATACATAATTAAAATAGAACAGGTTAGCCATAGAAGCTAATGACACTGTCCTTCTGGGGTCATCTTAGGTCTAAAAAAATTTTTAAAAAAAACCAAAGATATCAGAGAGAAAGGAGGAGGAGGCAGGGATGGAGTTTAAAGGGCATCCCTTCAAGAGTGTGCAAGACTGGACAGCTGAATGTACTACCAGAATACCACTGTAGTTGAAATGTTTAGTAGTTTCTGGGTCTTGCCAAGAAAAGTGCTGGAAGAAATACAGAAAAGGTGATTCTAGTCTGATTTAAAACCTAATTTTCCTGTGCCCAAAATGACCAACCTCAGTGAAGACACGTGGAATCTACAGATGTCCAGGAAAACGCGGTAAAATGGTTCTGGAGACAATTTCTGGGAAGAGAAGGGAAAGCAAATGTTCCTGTAGGAGGATTCCTCTGTCTAGAAGGCAGTGCAGTGTGTGCTTCTGAAACCATGTTGTGACTCAGGAATTCGTGTGGCGGCCCAGGAGTGTGGGGGGAATCTGGGAACAGCCGAGTGAGAGTTTCGCGTCCCCTAAGACATGGGAGGACCCATCGTGCTAAAATACAGTGGTAACCTATGAAAAGTCTGAACGGCAGACTCTAAGCAGGTTTATCTGCAGTTAGGTTTGGGCATCCCTAATGTGCTTTTGTCCCATGAAGTTCCCTTTGGAGCAACAGGCAGAATCCTGCCTGAGGCGTAACTCAGCCTGGGGCAACCCGAGCTTCGCCATCTCGGGGTTAATTCTCCAAGCTTGTATTTTCCCACCACCTTTTTTCCCTGGGTTGGACCTTGTTGACATCCTCTCAGTCAGAGCTCTGGAGTGGGGGAGCGGTGAGCCAAAGTGGACATATTTGACGCTACTGCTGCATAGCAGTTTAGATCAAAGAATCTGGATTTGAGCAAGGGAAGATGGTGCCTGGCAGAGTGAAGAGTTAAGGGGAAGGTTCATTTTCATCGAAGAGCTTAGCTGTATATAAGACATGTGTGTGGGCACTCTCTCTACACATCCACACTTCATATGTAATTTCGGGGGGTAGCAGAGCCTCTCATAGCCCCTCCACAGATGCCAGGGTAAGAGTCCCTGCTGGCACCAACCCCTGATCTGCAGGCATCAGACCCACATCCAGGTCCCTGCCTTGTGTCTGCCAAGTTGTGTCTCGTGGACTGGGTTGCTTAATCTCTCCCAACCTGTGCTTTCTCAAAAAAGCATGGGGCCATTTCCAGTGTCACTGTTCTGTGATGGCAGTGAGAAGAAAATGCAGCACACAAGGGAAGGGTTATTATACACAAGCTTCTTGATTATGCTTTGACTTTAAGGTTGAGAAAGGTTTCTAATTATTGCCTGAGTTGATTAAAGGTATAATCAAAATATGATCCTAAATTATTGTGTTTCTTATAGACCATGAAATTCAGAGACAAATCAGTGAACTCGAGAGTGGAGGTGTAATTTTGAATGAGACGCGCTCATTTGATCACAGGCTGGGGTGAGTCTGCCTTCATAAGCACCTTGAATACAGTGGTGGGCACGAGACTGCTGGGCTTAGCTGTGGGCCAGCACTGTGGCCTGAAGGCTCCTTAGCTTCTCCGCACTTGGCTTTCATTAGCAAGCACATGGGGATATAATGCACCCTCTTCTGCTCCTGAGAGAGCTGAACTGACCCAGACTTAACTCGGCAGTGCTTGGTTGTAGGCCTAGACCTCCCTTACTCCCGGCTTCCCTGCCTTATAAAAAGAATTGTACTTTCACATAATCTGGAAGACCTATACCAGCCTAAAACTAGAGGTAGACAGAGCGAAAATCTGGTTGGTCAGTTTAGATCTAGCTCTGAGCCTGATGTTTGGACTCATTTCTGAGGTTTTTATTCCTTCAACAGAGTATCACTGAAAGTTCCACAGGATACAGGCCTGAGCTGCCTGGAGGCCAGAGACTTGGTGGAGCTGTAACTCGGTGGTAGAGCACTTGCCTGGCACCTGTGAGCCCTGGGTTCCATCTCCAGCCACAAAAGCTTTTTTTTTTTTTAAATTGTGGAAACAGTGAAGTGATTTCTTTATCACTGATGGAAGGCTAAAGAAATTGAATTTTCCTGTGAGCCTTGCTGGTAGGGGAAACCCTTTTAATTGGCTTTCCATTTTTGTGACAGTTACTGTAATGACACACTAAGAGAAAAACTTCGTTTGGCCTCACACCCGGTATCAGCATTTGCAGCCTGGGGTTGCTCGGCTCTGTCGACTTGGGCCTGTGATGTACTTGTTGGCAGGGAAGCGGGAGGGAGCAGGTTCCCACAGTTCCTTTCAAGGGCGCCTCCCTCCAGCCCTGCCTGGTGAAGTTACATCTGCCAGTGGCACCAAGCTGGGAGCCACCCCCAGCACCCCTTCTCTGCCTGTCGAGTGGCCAGGACCGTGAGGAGTGTCTGCTCAGCATTTTCTTCTCTGTTACAGGTGCACCGTGCCAATGAGGGACAAGGAAGGAAAACAAGACTACAGGTGATCACCTCTCCTGTCACGTGTCATTCCCTCTCGTGGAGTGTGGGCATATGTCAGATCCATTCAAAGAGCATGATGGTCCTGGAGACCTCCTGGGAATGGCTCTTTATTCTTACATGATGGAGATCTGAGACTTTGTGTTCAGCGTGTGTACTGGGATTATTGTTAGCCCCAGAATCCCTTGTTTGCTGGGATTCGATGCTTGCAGGCACCTGTTCACTTGCTTCTGTGTCAGAGTTATGGCTGAACTAAGAGAATGCCAGCTGAGGTTGGCACCCTGGCCTCTCCTGTTCTTACCTTCAGCAAATTCCACACTGCACAGAAGTGTCTTGAGAGGAGATGAAAACTGTGTACATGCATGTAAATGGCAGTCCCCTTCGGACCTCAGGTGATGCTGTTTCATTGACAAAATAAGTAGGTTGGAATTAATAGAGGACCTGTGAAGAAAGCCATTAGTAAAGATGGGCTTGAGATAAATTGAACCTCTCGCCTTTTCCATTGAGTTGAGCAGTTGCAAAGATGGAAGCTCAGAGCAGCGAAGTTGTTGAGTGAGCCCGCCTTTCCTGGCACAGTGCAGGAGCTGTTGTGCGCTGTTGCTGGCAGGAAGGAGCACACATAGCCCTCACCCCAAGGCTCCTGTCATGTCTGCGTCATAGTCAGGGTTCATTACTGCACACTCCTGCTCTTCAGTGTCGCTCCCAGCTGTATTATACTGCTTTCTCATGGAGCATTGTTACAGTTTGTGTCTAGATGTCCTCCTAAAGCCTCATCCAGCCTTAGATGAGACCATTTCCGAGGTGGCTGGATCTAGAGTGTGTGACTGATTCATGGTGCAGTGCTGGGGTTATGGGTGTGTGATTGCCATATCAGCCCACTCACTGGATCGGCACTGCCCTAATCCTGGCAGCCTAGACAGAGTATAAAAGGGACAGAAAGAGGTTGCTCTTGTTGCTCTGCTACCTTTTCCCACCATGGCTGTTTCTGGGAGCCTCTGTGAGGCCTGTCTGCCTTGGAGCCAGCTGACTATGAACTGGAACCTCTACAAGCTGTGACGTAAATAAACCTTTCCTCCTTTAATTTTGGGTATCAGGTATTTTGTCTCTCAGCAAGAAGAAAAGTGCCTAAGACAAGCATGAAGTTTGCCTTTTAATTCAGCCAGTAGCTTCTGCTCTACCCTTGTAGTTGGTAGTTTCAGGAAGCCTCCCTTTGCTTTCCTCTGGTTGGAAGCCAGACTGCTTCACCACTGAGGTTGGCAGTGTGCTGATGAGTTGCTTACTTCCTAGTCTGTTACCTTCGAATCACTATTTGTTCTTCATTATCCTGCTTTTACAGAGGCCGCTTGACAATTATGGGCAGAGAGAAGATGTTGCTGCCGGGATAGAAGAGAGCAGGGCCGTGTTTCATAAGATATATGCCATGGTGTGGCTTCTGTGTATATTTCTTAAAGTCTTTATCCTCACAGCAGCTTCAGATTTACAGCAGAATTGAGTGGGAAAGTCTTGCTCTGCTCACAGCCTCGCTTGCTAACATCTCACGTTCGTGCGGTCTCTGTTAGAGATGAACTGGTACTGATAGCTCATTATTCACTGAAGGCTGTGGTCCATGTTAGGCTTCACCCTTCATACTGTCCATTCTGCAGGTTTTGACAGATGCATAATCACACATACACAGGATGACAGTGTCACCCAGGATTGTTTCACTGCCCTAAAAATGTCCCGTGCCCCACCTACTCACCCTCTCACCCCATTTCCACATTATATTTAGGCAAAATCTGTACATGCCTGTGCTTCTCAAGAAGGAAAGTTTGAGTTTTTTTCTTTGACTGTTTGTTACACAAACACTGCAAAAAGTAAGAATTAAAAACAAAGTCACTTTTCTTCCTACTACATAAGTTGTCCTCATTTGGTCCTCCTGTTTCCGTCCTTTCTTTGTTCATGATTATAAGTCGCAGAGTGGTTTTAGGCCTGCTGATACCCATGCACTCACCACTGCTGTACAGGCATGCGAGTGGCAGATTTGGTGACTAGGACACTCTGCGAGCACTGTATCACAGACCTTCCTGGGAAATGGGAAATCGATGCAGTGGGACCTGTGGAAACATTTGTAAGTGACATGGCATCTAAGCCAGAAACAGTCACATCAGAGGCAGCCTTGTGATTCTGATTAATTCAGGTCCCATTCCCTCTCTGCCTAGGTTTATGCCAGAGCCCAACCTGCCCCCCCTGGTGCTGTACGACACCGCCTCCTTGCCTGTAGGAGTCGAACCCCAGCAAGTGATCAACATCGACCAGATCCGAGACACACTGCCTGAGCTGCCCAGGGTGACCCGGGAGCGGCTGGTCCGGGAGTATGGGATGCTGCCGGAGCACAGCTTCACGCTGCTGGTGGGTACCGTGCGGAAGGAGCAGCGGCTCAGCAAGCGGGACTCTCCGGGGGCCCTGGGTTGGAGGAGGGCAGCTGTCTCCCTGAGGCCCAAGGGGCATCCCTGAAGGACGAGCCCCAGTGGCCCTCAGTCTGCATCGCAGTACAGGCTTCTCAGCCTCGCCTTAGCCAGTTCTCTAGCATAGGAACCAGCAGCTGTACACAGTGGCCTTGCAGACTTGAAGTCTGTGATGGATGTTACGGATGAGTGTTTTCCCATGGGTCTATACAGGACAAAAGAAAATTGACGTATAGGGTGTCCAGGCATCCAACAGCGTCAAACTGTGACAGGGCCTGGCAGGTTCTCGTTTTATCGCTGTGGAAGTGAACACCCACTGCACACAGTGCTGAAAACTGGCTGATGCATCTGAGCTTCAGGGATACAGGATGCCTCTGACCAGGCTGGTCGAGAACTTGACCCCCTGGAATCTGCTTAGGGATTTTCTGTCCTATTTGATGCTGGGCTTTGTGGGCTTCTTGGTCATCACAGTACTAAAGTGGTGCCACATCTTTGAGGGCAGTGTTTTGTCACAGTTGTCATCGTCTTGTCTGTGAAAGGAGGAAGTGGAAAGCTTGTAGCCATCGCTGTCCAGGAGTAGGGACAGGCTACAGTCACTTTTGGAGCAGCAGAATCTGGAGAAACAGGTTTTGCTTTTTATGTGACCAGTGATAACCGCCCAGGGCTGCCAGATATATGCATATTTGTCTGTAACACACTTTTGTATCCACAGCCTGGCAGTTTACGGTAAGGTCCCCAGCTTTCTGGGCTGAGGTGTGATTCTCAGGGAGAACCCAGGGCGCCTCGGGTGAAAACTCCCCTTGTACGACCAGCAGTGGTTAGGCGCACTCTGTGGTTTTGTAATACTTTTGATAGACTTGGTTGCCACCCCTGTGGGCTGCCAGCATGTCTCATTGGTGCACTGGCTCTGTTGCTGGATCTTAATGAAGTTCTTGTGCATCTTTCCCAGTGTCTCAAAGGCAGCCCCAGTTCTGTCACTCAGCACAGATGAGCACTTTGGTGTTTTTAACACCAGCTCCGTGAGCACAGGGACCTGGCATTCAGCATCCCAGGCCTCTGACCCTGTTGCCAGGTTTGGCAAAACAAACCTGCATTTCAGTCTTCCATTCCTTTCCTCCCAGCTTCACCACCTGAATCCCCAGCCCCTTGTAGTGAGTGCAAACCCTGCATCTCATGATTGTTTACTGCCTGGCGAAGATGGGAAGCCGGGACAGTCACCCAGCCTCAGTGGCTCACTGCTTTGCATTCGGCCCTGAGCTGGCCGCGGTGAGCCAGGCCTGTGAGGCGGCGTGCATGCGATGAGCCAAGGTTTCTTGGCCTTTTCTTTCCAAAGCAAAGCTGTGACTTGGAGTAGACACTGCTAACTTTGACATTCAGAATCCTTCTTACACAGGAGAAGGGAAATGACCATTTCAGATCTCTCGCAAGAACATGGCCATTTCCGTTCAAGGCTGTTGCATTGTCTGAAAATGCTGCGCCTTCGGGGAACATCTCTGAGAGTGTCACACCCTGGGCGGTGAGGGGCACACTATGGCTGGTGTCCCTGTCCTCATTCACATGTCCTTTGTGGAGTTAAAACCTAACTGGCTTTGAGCAGGTGTTTCCTAAATGGTGGTAAACAAGCGAATCTGTGTTTTATAGCTGAAGAAAATCTACCTTTGACTGTGTTGTGCAGCCTCCCCTGTGTCGCAGATACCGAGGCAGAGATGGTTTTTTGTTTTTAAGATTTTCTCATTGCCGTTGCCTCCCTAGAGTTAGCTTACCAGCCCCGGGGCAGGTGGTTGCAGGGATGGGAGGGGAGCCCAGAGGAGGTAGCAGTTGACTCCACAGGGATAACAAGAAAGCACTTGAACAAAGAGATGATGTTTTTAAGCTTAAAAAAACACTCTTTGCTACCTTAAATGCATGTCTCTTTTTATAGGTTACACATAATATATTAGGTAATTAGTTTTTTAAAAAATGGACTGGTGCTTGAAATTTCCAAGATAAATGAGGCTAGAACAAGATAGGAACGGACAGAGAATGATTCAGACACATTGCTTTCCCGAAATGAGGCAGCCTGAGCCCTTTATGATGCCGTAATCATTGGAAGCAGAGTTACTCATAACGTTCCCGGCAATGGTATGTTCATGTTTTTCCCTGCCTTCATCAGAAACACAACAGATTGCTGAGAAGGGCAGATGCACAAATCTAATGAACCATCTTTCAATTTAGAGAGTGCCCAGGAGTATTCATTAAATAAATAGCAGCCGTGGAGGTGTGCTTTGCAGGGTCTTTGCTCCTGCTCCCCGCCTTCGGATTGCCTGTTTAATTAAGCCGTGCACACAGGCCTTGCCCACAAACAGCGAAACTTCACAGTGGAGCTCACCTCGTTCTGGACATTGTGTCATGCAGTAAGCAGTGAATCGTGTATCGTTAGTGTGATCTTTGACATTTCAGGAACTCTTCATCCTTAGTGTCAGGTACATAGCAGGCCCCGGGCGGCTGGGTGGAGAGCCCAGTGGATGGAATACTGGGGTGGCGCACAGGGAGGTCCCGGGAGCAGTAGTGGTCCTTGTAAAAGACTTCCATTTCCAAAGGCCCCATGCGGAAGCCGCCTTTCGGCAGCCAGCAGATCCTGGGTGACACATCTCACCTTCCTACGCTAGGTGAAAAGCCCTGGATGGCTACTTCTGTTGCATCACATCCACCGCCCCTGCAGGTAACTTGGTTTGTCTGATTGCTGCATTTTGGACTGGTTTCATTAGGACAGTGAATCACATCTGCAGTCTGATTTTCTTTCTTAGACCTTCCTGAGAATCCCCTCCTGAAAGAAAACCTGAAGTTTGTGTTTCGGTTTTATTTTTTGGCTACTGGGGAGTGAATTTCAGGGCTTGTGTGTGCCCAGCGGATGCTGTACCACTGAGCTACCTTCCCAGCCTGTTTAATTTTTCAGACAGGAACTCGCTAAGTTACGCATGCTGGCCTCAAACTTACGTTGCTCCTGCCTCAGCCTCCAAAGGGCCGGGATTGCAGGCATGGCAAAAAAAAAAAAAAAACATAAACCAAACAACAACAGCAAAAAACCCATATTGCTCTTTTGTTTTGTTTTGTTTTTTAGTCATATAAATATCTTGCCCCATCTAAGACTTTAACCTATTTAACTCATCTTTCTTTGCTGTCTAATGTCAAATTGCCTTGCTTTCTGACCTCATTTGTAAAGATGAAGGAAAAGGACTGTGGAAGCTGAAATGCAGGTGTTAGGATTTTAAAAGAGGAGACAGATCCTGACAGCACAGGGAGCCCACCTCTGGGTTGGGAGTGTTTACTGGAATGATCAGTGTCATGCATGTGTATATTTTTCTTAGCAAAATCATTGCAGGCTAATTTCCATGAGGACATCTCTTCCTAAACTCTGATGTCTTATTTCATTCAGAGACTAAAAAGAGTTATAGTCATTGTTTAAGCAGCGCATTCCAAAGGCTTCTGGCTCCCGGCATGCTCTGCGTGTCACATATACCCTCAGCCCCCTGTGGTGATGGTGGTGTTAGCGGGTGAACCCAATGCCTTTGTACTGAACTACTTATCCAGGCTGGTTTTATTTTTTAGTTTCTCTCAGTCTCTAAATTTCCCAGGCTAGGCTCAAGCTGGTGATCCTTCTGCCTCGGCCAGAGTCCTGGGATGGCAGGCGTGTGCCACTGTCCATGCCCAGTACACTCACCACTTCTAGAGTATCCTTGTGATAGTCCTGGAATTGCTGTCTCCCCATTTTCCATGTGAGGAGATGTAATCTCTTGGATTAAAGAACCCTCCCTCACCTGTGCTGAACCAGGTTCCCCCACTCTGACTTCAGGGACCCTAAACTCTGTTGCCTGGCTGCATGTGTAACGGGCTGCCATGCCAAATGAAATGATGTTTTTAGTTAATGACTGCTGAGATCTCTCTTGTTTCATTAAGTAGAAAGTGGTTTTTACTTTTGCTTCTTTTAATCCTGTATATAGTCCCACAAATGTTTTGTGAAGCATAGTCACAGAATACAGGTTCATTACAAATTTTTGACCACTTCTGTTGATTTTTGATAGTGCCAGACTGCCCTGTAGATTACTGTCCTTGAGGCAGGAGCGTAGAAAACCCCAGCCTGGCCCAGGGAGGCGGCAGGGAAACAAACCTGGGAGCCCCCTTGTCGGCACTCACACCTCCGGGAGCGCGCTGGTCCCCAGGCACAGCCTGCTGCGCTACCTGAGCAACTCCATTTTCTCTGGCCGGCCAGTTCTTTCCCATTGAAAGTCATAATCCTTCCTTTCCCACATCGGAGAAAAGGTTAAGTTGTCTTCAAGGGACAGAGAAACAGAAAAGCTATCCTGACCACTGTCAGTTGTTAAATGGATTATTTTTCAACAGTCTTTCTTGAGCTAGAAATGGCCAAGTTTGCTTCCTCGATGAATTGCGTAGAAAACAATTTCCTGTGATAAATATCTGCATATCCCATATGCAGCGCCACTTTAAAGCCAAGAGTCTGAAATAGCATCTGAAGCTGTATTGACGGGTTACCTAGACTTGCCAAGGTGCAGAGTACTACAGTCACCTTCTAACTGATGTTGAAGGAAAATCCATTTGGGCAACACCGTCACCAGCCATATTTCACCTCCCTGCAATTTTCAAAATTGATTTTATGCATTTTATAAATTGCACCCAGGGCTCGCCAGCTTAAGGGTGCTTTCACAGGGATCCTACACACTGGAAAAATAACTGAAATCTCGTTCTGGTAAAGTTGAATAAAAAGAGGCATCTTCTGACTGTACCCCTCCAAAAGCAGCTTCACTTCTTCAGATGCAAGGGACATGCAGCCTTCAGAGGTGTGGCCGTCCTTTTGCAGACTCAGGTCTGCAAGAGATGGGCCGAACCCATCTACAGGGGAAAGTGCAGGGCACCTTGGGACCCGCAGCAGGTTCTGTCCTGACCCAG